CTTAAAAAAACAGAAGAGGCCAAATGGTAAAAGAGGCACAAAAATCCACTGAAGAGAAGAACTCCTTAACAAGCAGAACTGGCCAAATGGAAAAGGAGGTACAAAAGCTCAATGAAGAAAATAATTCCTTAAAAACTAGAACTGGGTGAGTGGAAGCTAATGACTTTGTAAGACATCAAGAAACAATAAAACAAAATGAAAAGAATGAAAAAATAGAAGAAAATGTGAAATATTTTACTGGAAAAACAACTAACCTGGAAAATAGATCAAAAAGAGATAATTTAAGAATTACTGGACTACTTGAAAGCCATGATCAAAAAAAGAGCCTAGACATCATCTTTCAAGAAATTATCAAGGAAAATTGCCCTGGTATTCTAGAACCAGAGGGTAAAATGGACATTGAAAGAATTTACAGATCACCTCCTGAAAGATAACCCAAAATGAAAATTCCCAAGAATATTACAGCCAAATTCCAGAACTCTCAAATCAAGAAAAAAATACCGCAAACAGCCAGAAAGAAACAATTCAGGTATCATGGAGCCACAGTCAGAATAACACAAGATTTAGCATCTTCAGCATTAAAGGATTGATATTCCAGAAGGCAAAGGAAATAGGATTACAATCAAGAATCACCTACTCAGCAAAACTAAGTATAATTCTTCAGGGGGAAAAATGGATATTCAATAAAATGGAAGACTTTCAAGCATTCCTGATGAAAAGACCAGAGCTGAACAGAAAATCTGACTTTGAAATACAAGATTCAAGAGAGGCATAAAAATGTAAACAGGAAAGAGAAATCATAAGAGATTCAATAAGGTTAAAATGTTTATATTCCTACATGGGAATATGATACTTGTAACTCCTAAGAACTTTCTCATTATTATGGCAGATGGAAGGAGTATATATAAGCAGAGGGCGTGGGTGTGAGCTGAATATGATGCAATGGACTGATACAAAGTGAGAGGAGCAAAGCCAGGAGAAACTGTACACAGTTACAGCAATACTGTAGGATGATCAACTGTGACTGACTTAGCTATTCTCAGCAATAGTCCATGTGAGTCTTCCCAGGTTTTTCTGAGAGCATCTTGCTCATCATTTCTTATAGTACAATAGTATTCCATCATAATCATATACCACAACTTGTTCAGCCATTTGCTAGTTTCTGGCTATGTCCTCAATTTCCAATTCTTTGCCACCACAAAAAGAGCTGAAAAATAAAGAAAGTTTAAAAAAGTATGCTTTGATCTGCATTCAGAAGCCATCAGTTCTTTCTCTGGAGATGGATGGCATTTTTCATCATAAGTTCTTCAGAATTGTCTTGGTTTATTTTTTGTCTGTGTTTTCTTTCAAAACATGACTAACATGGAAATGTTTTGCACGACTGCACATGTATAAGTTATATCAGACTGCTTACCTTCTCAATGAGGGGGAAGGGGAAGGAGGGAGTGAGAGAATTTGGAACTCAAAATTTTAAAACACGAATGTTAAAAACTATGTTTACACATTTTTTGGGGGAAAAACCAAAATATTAAAGACTCAAAAGAAAAAAAAAGAACCAAAACCCAACCCATATCTAATTTCTTATCAAGTCCTGACAATTCCATCTTTGTAACATCTCTTGTATTTCTCCCCTTCACTTTATCCCAATTGTGACCGCCCTTTATTGCCTTCTTTCCTACTCACTAGTACAACAGCCTCCTCACATGCTGTCTTGCCTTCCCTGTCTGTCCCCTCTGGGGGCTGCCACAGTAATTTGTCAGGCACAGATCTTGTCATGTCAAACTCCTTTGCTCAAAATAATCTTTACTAGTTCCCTACTACCTACCATGTAAAGTTCAAACTCTTTCAGGCTAACATGCAAGGCCCTCAACAATCTGGTACCATCCAACTTTCCCACCCTCATCACACAGTGCTTCTTATTTCCATGTACCCTGCTCTGGGTTAGAAAGACTGGTTGGCAGGCCTATCAGGACCCTTCCAACTCAGAAGTGTGGAAAAAATATAAACTATTCTAACCAAATGGGACTACTCTCATCCTCCCCAAAAACATTGTGTTTCACACTTCCCTGACTTTATCCACACTGGTTCCTATGCACAGAATGTCCTCCTGGTTTACTAGTTGAATTCTTAACCCAGCTCAAATTCAGGTTGCAGCTCTTTTTATGTTATGTCTGCTTTTTATTGTTTGTTATGTATGTTCTTCCTTGCTGTAAATGGTCATTTCTTGTTGCTATTATTGTACCCGCCTTCAGCAGTTTCTCCTTTCCTCCCTCAACATTAACTTGCTTTTATTCTACTACGTAAGAAATAAAATATCCAAACTTGTAATAAACATATTTAAATAAGAGAAAATGGATTTGTAGCTTTCTGAGGAATAAGTAACAAGAACATCAACATGTAATATCCACTTTAACTGGTAGAGGCCTTTTAAAAGTGCTCTCAGAGTTCTCATCTGCATACCACATGAGGTTACAAAATGAGAAACCTTTGTACAAGTAAAGTGTTTCTGTCCAGCATGGTGTAGTAGTGAGCAGACTTTGGAGTTAAGAGACCACAACTTAAATTCTAGCTCCAACACTTTCTAGTACTGTGACTTTGGGCAAGTCATTTAACCCCTTTGAGCCTCAGTTTCCTCACCAGTAAACTAAGAATGATAATACTTACAACTACCTACTCACAAGGTTGTAGCAAGGAAATGGCCACCTCAACCCTGTGGTTTTATCTTAAAGGACTTTTCACAATTGTAAAAGTGTTTAGTCACCTCTCCTTACACAGGGAATGTTTTATTATTCTGATGTTTCCGTTGAATGACCTCACTTTCTCTACCGTTATGCCTCCTGTGAAATGTTCTACTTATCTAGCCTAAGTTGTTGCTGAATGCTGATTGGCTGTGTACTCCAAGTAAGTCTGAAAAGTTATAAAAACCAAATCTGTACCCTAGGAAGCCAAAGCTGGTATCATTGAGAGCCCTGTTCCTCAGTATGCTAATACATTTCTGTGCTTTCAGTTTGGCCTCCTAACTTTGATTCACAGTTATCAGACTCCCAGTGATTGGTCTGCCTTTCCCAAGAGGGAGGCACTATTCTTCTCATGAACAAATTCCCCAACACAACAAAGGCATTTGCTTCCTCCTTTGGATTTCTTTTTTCTTCTTGCTTAGTTCTATCAGCAGCATTCATGGACATTGCTTAGCCCTGGTGGCAGCCCTTGAAATTCAGGTTGTTGCCATTATACATTTAAAATACAGGCTATAAATAATGTAATGATGATCAACTATGAAAGACTTAGCTACTTTAATCAATATAAGGATCCAAGAAAATTCCAAAGGACTCACAAAGAAGAAAGCCATCTACATCCAGAGAGAGAACTGATGAATTCTGAGAGCAGACTGAAGCATATTTTTTTCATTTACTTAAATTTTCATACTTTTTTTTTGCAATGTGACTAATACAGAAATGTTTTGCATGACTTCAAATGAATAACTGGCATCATACTGCTAGACTTCTCAATGGGTGGGGGAGGGACTAGAGGAAAGAGAATTGGGAACTCAAGATTTTAAAAATGAATGTTAAAATAAAATATAATTATAAAAAATTAAAATAAAATACAGGCTGTAAAAACAACATCAATAGTTCCCAAGATGGGAGACAAAATAGTAAGACAGTTATTCTAAAAAACAAACAGAAATAGTGAGATGACTTAGAGATCAGTGACTATTTTACATCATCATTATATAATTCAAAGTTTTACCTCAGAATTGGGAGCCTCCTGGGGGATGAGGAGTAAGCTCACAGTCATTTAAAGGTCCAACATCATAACAAATATTTCAATAAAGTGAAGTAATAACTGTGCATAGATATATACCAATCTTTAGAAGGTAGATATAAAAACAAAAATGAGCAACAGTACAGAAATTAACTCTATTCACTGGAAGGACAAATATGGAAGCTAAAGCTGAAATACTTTGGCCACATAATAAGAAGACAGTATTCACTGAAAAAGAATCTGATGCTGGGAAAGATTGAAGGCAAAAGGAAAAGGGGATGGTAGATGAGATGGATAAAGAGTATCATGGAAGCAACAAATACAAGCTTAGACAGACTTCAGGAGATAGTGGAGGACAGAAGGCCTGGCATGTTTTGGTTCATGGGGTCATGAAGAGTTGGACACAACTGAATGATTTAACAACAACCTTTCCTTTATGCTTTAACACAAAAAAGTGTTTGCCTCTTAACAATATATAATTTGTATTTGTATAATTTGCATTAAAAATGTGTTCAAACAGGTTTTTAACCTACTATTTCATAACCACCAAAAATACTGGTTGAGAAAAGTAATGAATCCATTATAACAATAAGTAGCGATATGAATAGAAATCATGTTTAATTCCTACAGACAGAATCTAATAGGGAAGATTTCAGTGCACCTAACCAACAAGCAGTATTCTCATTTTACCACTGAGAAAGAAACCAGAGGCACTTCAAGGTTATGCAACTGTGTCAGTGCCATGCAAACAGAATCTGAAACTCCTAATTCCAAACCTCTCTTTCATAAATGTTCCATAAGCTATATTTGGATACAGTTACACATTCTTTTTAGGAAATCCTTTTTAAAATCAAATGGACTATTTAAAAAAAGTTTCTTCCTAATACCACAGAGAAATATAGTATTGATGCAAATTTCATTTCTGGTGCATACAGAAAATAACAACATACCAATATTACTGCACTGTCGTATATAGTTTCCCTGGGAAGAAATTTAAGCAGATGATTTCCAGGAACATCAAGGTAGACAACAGCACAGTCTAGTGGTCAAAGAACAGTAGTAAAGATTATTACACAGAACCGTCTCGGTGACCACAGACAAGATATTTAGCTACTTTGAAACCTAGTTATAAAATCAAGGCAGTGTACCTACAAAGGAATATTACATAAACCTCTAATAACGACAAAAAATTAAGAACAAATAATACTAAGATAGGGGAAAAATCGCTGAGTTACCCAAAAGTTCCAGTCAGTGCTCCAATTGTGTAAATTAGGTCCCTGTTTTTTAACTGGTGCTATACTATTTTCTTCTACAACTGGGCTGAGTTTTTCTTCCACATCTTCCAATAACTTACTGATGAAACCAGTATCTTCTTCCTGTATTTCCTGTGAACAAGAATCAGAAAATAAGCCTACTAATGGAACATACCAAAAGTAAAGAGAAAAAGCAGTTCATTCATGTTCAAAATTTATAAACCAACTTCAAAGAACAATTTTTTTTAGTAGAACACCATCATACTGCTAACATAGGAATTTGTTTTACATAACTACATATTTGTTATGAGGACTGTTTTTCTTTTTTCTTTTCAGTTCGTTGTGGGAGGGAGGTGGGAAGGAGAAAAGACAGATTTTGGTTAAATGAAAAAAATAAAATTTAATTTAAAAAGAATTCCATCTTTATTCTTAAGAATTAAAAGGAGTATCACTGTCTACTTAGATGACTCCACTTACCTATGATGAGAAAATATGACTTAAAACATCATAACAAAAAAGGGCACTACTAAAACCAAACAAAAATACAAAGTCATTTATTTAAGAATTTCTTCTATTTTTCTTCAATATTGAGAGCAGAAGTAATCCATTTTCAGACCATGTGCTATGATATCCCCTAGCCCTAGGAATTCTGGCCAATTTACAGAGCACAAAAGCAAGGGCTGAGCACTGCCACCACTCCTACCTACACGACATCCCTGCTGGGATGTGGAGCATTTGCTGCTATACTCTGAGAAGGATAAACTGAAGCTAGAGACAGTTAACATATGCTAAATTAGAGAATCGATTATTAAAATAGGAATATTTAAACTTCTATTATGCTTTTTATTTAAAGGATCATAAAATTCTAGTACATGATCACCCAACACTATTAAAGAATAAGGTACTTCATATAAGTGAATGTTCCAGATCAACTAAAATTTGAGGGTACCTCCCTTCAAGTGCCACAATTCGTATTTCAAAAATTTTTATGAAACTCCTAAAACAAGTAACTACTTCCCGGCCTTTTTAAAGAGGAGATGCTAAACATAATGTAAACTTTTCTTAATGATCAAAACTCATCATTATGAGCATCAACTCATAAATAATAATATTCATATATTTATATAATTTTATATATATATACACAGACACAAAAAAAATTTCCTCAATTCTTCAAGGTTGTTGCTATCAGTCACATTTGACTCTTTGTGCCCCCATGAACGGTGTGTAGCATGCCAGGCCCTTCTGTTCTCCACTGTCTCCCAAAGTCTGTCCAAGCTCATATTCATTGCTTCCATGACACTATCTATCCTATCTCATCCTCTGCCATTCCCTTCTCCTTTTGTCTTCAATTTTCCCAGCATGAGTCTTTAAGTCTTGTCTTCTCATTATGTGATCAAAGTACTTAAGCTTCAGTATTTGTCCTTCCAATGGACAGTCAGAGGGGAAGTTTTATTTTTACAAATTTGACAAAGGAACACTTCAATACAAAGAATGTAAACAAGGTTGTAAATGAATCCATGAATCTCTTTTGGGTTTTTAAAAAGTACATTACAAATTGAACACTTTAGGTCCAAAGCAGTCCTGTTCATCTGTGTCTCACTCTGAACTTTCTATTCTCTTCTGCGCATTTTTAAAATGTTTCAGTAATGTTTTCTTTTTCTTTTCCTCTCTTTTTGGTACCACTAAAACTAGTCATTTCATCTCCCAATTCTGCCCTCTTCCCTCACCATTTCAAAAAAACAACCACCAATCCACAAGTCTTCCCTGAGATTGAACAAACACAAACAAAATGAGTGGTGCCGAATTGGCCACGTCTGAAAACATAAGCCTTCTTTTACACTTCTAATTCATTGCTTCACTGTCATGTTTCACTATTGGTATTCTAGGGTTGTGGTCAAATTGCACTGCTCTAAATTCTTAAGTCTTTCAAAGTAGTTTTTCTTTAAAAATACTGTAGTCATTATATAAATTGTTTTTCCGCTACTTGGCTGAAGTTACTAATTGTTTCAATTAATTTAGTGGTGAGTTGCTAGGGTACTCTTAAATAACTCATATCTTTGCAAAAGTTTCATTTCCTCTTAGCTTGCATTCATCTCCTCAATTTCTTTTCTTTGCCCTGTCAATATAGCTAGCATTTCGAGAACTATAACAAATAATAGTGCTGAAAATGAATAATCTTGCTTTACCTCTTATTTTACTGGAAAGACCTGTTTCACCATTATAAATAAAGCTAACCCTTGGTTATGGATAGGACACTACTTACCATGTCAAGGAATAGTTCATGTATTCCTATGTTTTGGGAAGTAAGTTTATCTATTTTGAGACTGGGCCTCCCTATCTCAGCCCAGGCCATAAGTGCAGCAGCCACTTACTAATTCCACTACAGATCAGCAAAAAAGCTTTGATAGGCAGCACTTCCATAGCCAGTTCACTCCTTCTTACACATTCTGGTAGCCCTTCCCACAGGAGAGGGGTATCACCATATTGGTGCCAAACTTAGTGCAGACACTTGATCAGCTTTATTGCTACTACAATTCAGAAATCCTAAACTTAATCAATCCATCAGTACTCAGCCTTTCTTTAGTAAGAATTGCAAGCGTGTATCAACACATCCAATTCTTCTTATGCTTTTTAATGTTTTTAACAAACAAGTGTTATATTTTGTAAAGAACTTTTTCTGCATCTACTGATACAATTATAAAATCAATTTTTTTGGTAACTAATATGGTCTATCATATTTACAGTTTTTCTAACACCAAACCAATCCTGAATTCCTAGAATAAACCCAATCTGGTCATAACTTATAACATGATTAATATGTTGTTGTTATCTTTTTCCTTTTTTTAATATAATAGTTTTATACCACTATTCATTAGAGCTATTATTCTAATGTTTTCTTTCTCTGCTTTATCTCTCCCAGGTTAGATTGCAAGACCATATTTGTTACAAAGAAAGATTTGATAGGATCCTGTCTTTTCCTATTTTTGCAAACAATTTATGTAATACTGAAATTAGTTGTGCTTTGAAAATCTTATAGGATTTACTTATAAATCCACCTAGTCCTAGGGTTTTTTCTTTAGGATTTCACTTATGTCTCATTCAATTTCTTTTTCTGAGATTGGGCTACTTAAATTCTCTATTTTTTATTCTGTCAATCTGAGTGTTTTACTTTTAAAAAAATATTCATTCATTTCACTCGTTATCAGTTTTGCTAGCATATAATAGCCAAAGAAGTTTCTAATAATTTCCTTTATTTTCTCTTCATTTGTTATTAATTCTCCTTTTGCATTTTTGATATTGCATTTTGGTTGGCCTCTTTTTTTATTATATTACCTAATAGTTGGGGTTTTTTTTTGTTTTTAAAAAAGAAATCTACTTCCATCAATTTAATATTTCTTATTTCATTTTTATTTATCTCTCCTTTGATTTTCTGAAATTCTGGGAGGTGTTTAGTTGGCGTCTGTGGTTTGTTACTTTTCCATATTTTTTAGTTGCATGAACAATTCATCAATCATTTCTTTCTTTTTTTTTTTGTTAACGTAAATGTTAAGAGATAGAAATTTTCCCCTAGCCACTGTTTTGGCTGCATTCTAAAAGTTTTGGCATATTGTTTCATTGTTGCCATCTTCTTTGATAAAATTCTCTGTTGTTCCTATGATTTGTTCTTTAAGCCACATAAGATTAAATTATTTAATCTCCATTCAAGTTTGAATATTTTCTTCAAATGTCCATTGTGGATTACAATTTTATTGCATTTTGTCAGTAAAGTATCTGTTATATATTTCTGCTTTTTTGATTTGTTTATGAGATTTTACACTCTAATAAACATGTATATTCCTTCCTATAACCACTCAGTAACCCTCAGTTAACTTTTTTAAAATAATTCTTCTTTTCAAGTCCTTAATGTTTTACTTGTTCACCTCTATAACATTTATCTGGGTTTGAAAAGGAAACAGTGAAATCATCCATTATTACATTTTTTGCTTCTATTTCTCTCTGTAATTAAATAAAATTATAAGTAATTATTTTGTATTTAGTATGTTAGGTATTTTAGATATTAAAGGCATCTAAATACCTTTAGGTATTTATAACTATGCCATTTTATACATATTAGGTATTAATAATCATTCATTTCCTATGGTACTTTAAAAACACGTATGTTTCATGCTTATCTCTTTCAACAACATCTATTTTTACTGTTGCCTTGACTGAAGTCATGATTGTTACCCTGATGCTCTGAATTGGCCTTCTGTGTCTCAATTCAACTCTGTCAATTTTTGTTGCAAATGTGTTTCATATGAAAAAATATGTTGTTGGACACCACTTTCTGATCCATTCTGCTACCCTGTCAAGAGTGTCAAGGATGAAGACTGAGAAAAGACTATCAGATGTGGCAATTAACAGATCATTAGTAACACTGGAGAGAGCAGTTTCAGCCAAGTAATGAGATCACAGACCAGGGTGAAAATGGTTCAAAGATAAGAGAAGAAGTGGAAGCAATAAGTTTAGACAGCTTTTTCTAAAAGTTTGGCTGAGAAAGGGACAAAAGACAGAAGAAACTAATTTAAGGAGATCACGGAGGGTGTTGTAAGTTTTTAAGGATGCTGGACACTTAGGAATCAGGCACCTTTGACAATGAAGATTCATTAGTAACTGAAAGAAAAAAGGATGAAACTTTAAGAAAGTTTTGATTTCAAGATATGTTTTATTGGTTGAAGAACTTCTAAAGTCTGGAATGAGTGTGGAATCCAGTTTTCAATGTGGATGGATTTTTATATACGACACTAGTATTGCCAATATGGAGTGGGTGACTATCTTCTTTGACAGAGGCTAATGTAAGTTTTTTGGGGTTTTTTTTAGGCATTTAGGGTTAAGTCACTTGCCGAGGGTCACAAAGCTAGTAAGTGTCACGTGTTTGGTCTGAGGCCACATTTGAACTCAGGTCCACGTGACTTCAGGTCCATTGCTCTATCCACTGTGCAACCTACCTGTCCCACTAATGTAAGTTTTGATAAGGACCAACACACTATTTTGATGTCTGCATCAAATTAAGTCATTTAACTATGGCAGTACAGAATATATTAACTAGTTTACAGTAAATTCTCATAAAACAGTACTAGAATGGAGAT